TTGAAAATCAAACAATGTGATATACCACCTTATAAAGGAGAAAAAGTATACAACTATCTCATTAGGTGTACAAAAGCATTTAACAAATTCAGTCTTTATTCACAATAAAACTTCTCAGCAAATTGGAGATAGAAGGTAACTTTCCCTGCATAAAGGAAATCTACAAAAAACTGAGAACGATCCAAAATGGCAAAGTAGATAAACGCTGTGCTTGCTTCATCCCGTGAACACATCAAAATTACAACTAAATTACAGAACCATCAACATGGAGAACCATCTGAAGTCTAGGTGAACGGAAGTTTTATAGCTAAGGATATCAAGAAGCCACTGTGAGACTGGTAGGATGGACGGAGACATGACACGGGCCAGCCCCAAGCCTCCCTGTGGCAGATAAAAATTGGAAGGGATATCTCTGCCACAGAGGTTCCCCACGGAGGAGTAAGAAACCCCATTCTGGCCTCCGTATCCAGACCACTGGTGCCAGGCAGAGGAGCCCCCACAACATCTGGCTGTGAAAAACAGTGGGGATTCCAACCATCCAGTTGGGATGGAAGGCTGCAGGGAAACCCAGACATCCTCTTAAATGGCCCACGCACAGACTCCCTCCAGGCACTCACCTTGGGCTCTGGCGGAGGGATGGTGACTCAGGGAGCAGTAAGCACACGGGGGTCGGGGGGGCCAGACTGAGGTGTATGGCCTCGGAGTGCAGCCTGGAGGATAGTCGGCATTTTCCCTGTGTGAGGTAGGTCCTCCTCCCAAGCAGCCAGCAGGTGGGTGCCATCTTTCCTGATGAACCCACCTCCTACACTTATAGCCAAATCTGAATCTGATTGGCCTGGTGAACTCCGAAGCTCCACCCTGCTGACTCAACTGCGATTATGCCACACCTAACTCCCTACCACGTGAGATTGCAGCTTACTGGAGCAGGCAACCAGCAGCACCTGGCAGCAGGCATTCATGTGTCCTGGCTTTCTGAGGAGCTACCCCAGGCCCGGTACTGGTAGCATGCATCTTCAGTTCACAGCATGGCTTCACCCACATGCCTCCAGGTCCAGCAAAGGCAGCAAGCAACCATGGATCACTTCGTAGCTCCTACCAGGTAGTCCCCAACTGGTCACAGGCAGTAGGTGACCTGGTCCTGCACTGGAGCTCCTCCCAAGAGGCCCCAGAACCAACCTACTTGGAGGTTGACTTCAGACCACAGCAGAGAACCGCCCAATTAGCCCCACAAGTGGCACACACAAAGGGCAGTTTCAACTGCCCTCAAGGCACTAGAGTCCACTGGGATGAATCCAACTGTATGGATTCACTGCATAGCAGTCCATAAGCTGTGGATGTGGCAAATTCCACAGCCAATCAGCCCTAGGGTCAATCACACCCACTGACATGCCAATATCAAGCAAGGCTCAACTATAACAGGAGGACACACACAACACACACACACAAGTAACATTCCTGGGGCATTCAGTGCAGGAGACCAGGGAGACTGCCTCTGGACCTTACAGGGCACCTACCACATAAGGCCACCCAGCAAGACACAAGGCAGATCTATCTAACACATAGAAAAAGAGAGGCAGCCAAAACGAGAAAAAAAAAGAAATACATCTCAAATGAAAGAACAGGAGAAAACTCCAGAAAAAGAACTAAATGAAATGGAGGCAAGCAACATACCAGATACAGAGTTCAAAATACTGGTTATAAGGATGCTCAAGGAACTTAGTGAGAACTTCGACAAAAAGATAACAAGCACAAAAAAATGACATAGAAACCATTAAAAAGAACCAGTCAAAAGTGAAGAATGCAATAACTGAAATGAAGAATACACTAGAAGGAATCACCAGCAGACTAGATGAAGCAGAGGATCAAATTAGTGATGTGGAAGACAAGGCAGCAGAAAACACCTGCATGGAACAGCAAAAGGAAAAAAGAATTTTATATATATATGATAGTTTAAGAGACCTGTGGGACAATCTCAAATGTAACAACTTTCACATCATAGGGGTACTAGAAGGAGAAGAGAGAAAGGGATTGAAAGCCTATTTGAAAAAATAATGACTGAAAACTTTCCTAACCCGGCAAAGGAATTAGACATACAAGCCCAGGAAGGGCAGAGAGTCCCAAACAAGATGAAACCAAACAGGCACACACCAAGACACATTATAATCAGAAGGGCAATGGCTAAAGACAAAGAGAGAATCCTAAAAGCAGCAAAAGAAAGGCAACTAGTAATTTATAAGGGAGCTCCCACAGGACTGCCAGCTGATTTATCAACAGAAACTTTGCAGGCCAGAAGGGATGGGCACAAAATATTCAAAATGATGAAAACAAGGATCTGCAACCTTGACTACTCTATCCAGCAAGGCTGTCATTTAAAATTGAACGACAGATAAAGAACTTCCCAGATAAGACAAAACTAAAGGAGTTCATCACCAAACCAGTATTCTAAGGAATGTTAGAGGGACTTAAGACAAAAATAAATAAATAAATAAATAAATAAATAATATGAATAAAATGGCAATAGTTACATATCTATGAATCACTTTTAATGTAAATAGATTAAATGATTCGATCAAAAATATAGTAGGGCTGAATGGATGCAAAACAAAACCCTTACACATGCTGCCTACAAGAGGCTCACTTCAGATTGAAAGACACATACAGACTGAAAGTAAAGGGATAGAAAAAGATATTTCATAGAAATGGAAATGGGGAAAAACAAAAAAAAGCTGGGGTAGCAATACTTATATCAGACAAAATAGACTTTAAAACAAAGGCTACAAGAGACAAAGACCCAGTAATCCCACTTCCGGGTATTTACCTGGAGAAACCCAAAACGTTACTCCAAGGGGACGTGTGCATCCATCTGTTCATTTGCAGCATTGTTTACAATGGCCAAGCTGTGGCGGCAGCCTGGGTATCCATCAATGAAAGAATGGATAAAGAGGAGGTGGTACATATATACAACGGAATATTGCTTGGCCATGGAAGGAAATGGGTTCTTGCCATCTGCAGCGACACGGATGGACCTGGAGGGTATTGTGCTGAATGGAGTATGTCAGACAGAGAAAGACAGATGCAGTGTGATTTCACTTATATGAAGAATCTAAAGAACAAAATTAACAAACAAACAAAACAGAAACAAACTCATAGATACTAAGAACATTTTCATGGTTGCCAGGTGAGCAGGGGGTGAAAGAGTGGGTGAAAAACTGGAAGGGACTAAAAAGTACAAATTGATTATTACAAAGTAGTCATAGGGATGTAGGGTACAGCAAAGGGAATATAATCAATAATATTGTAATAACTATGTATGGTGTCAGACAGATACAAGATTTATCGGAGTGATAGGAATGGTGTTGGGGGGCAGGGTGAAAAAGGTGAAGGGATTAAGAAGTACAAATTGGTAGTTACAAAATAGTTATGGGGATGTACAGTAAAGCGTAGAGAATATAGTCAATAATATGGTAATAGCTATATATATATATTATAGTGCCAGGTGGGTACTAGACTACTAGACTAGTCAGGGGGATCACTTCTTAAATTATACAAATGTCTAACCACTATGCTGTACACCTGAAATTAATACAAAATAATATTGAATGTTAACTGAATGGAGTTTATTTCTAGATGTACACATATATGGTCAATTGATTTTTTACAAAGGATGGTCTTTTCAACAAATGATGCTGAAAAAACTGAATATCCATAAAGAGAAAAAAATGAGACTCAATCCTCACCTCTCATTAGATACAAGAATTAATGCAAAATGGATCACAGACTTGAATGTAAAACCTAAAGGGAAAAAATCCTTGTAAACTTGAGATTGACAAAGACTTCTTAGAACACCAAAAAACACCTACCATAAATGGAAAAAAAGATAAATTGGACTCCCAAAATAAAATTTTGCTCTCTTCAAAAGATACAAACTTGGAGAGAACAATTAACAACTCAAACAAGGTATGACAATTAACTTCGCGAACTTAATTAATCCTAGAAAAAATGCTACATACCTCATTGCTGAATATCACTATGGTCACCTTTGAAGTACTCCCCTTTGGGAAGCTATGCACTGACACCGGTGCCTAGTCCACTTCAAAGCAATTTTGGAACTCTTTTTCTAGAATGGCCATCAGAGCTGTCATTGTGTTACACTTGATGTCCTCAATGTCATCAAAATGTCTTTCTTTCAATATTTCCTTTATCTTCAGGTAAAGAGAGTGCCAAATCCTAACCACTAGACCACCAGGGAAGCTTATCTTCAGGTAAAGAAAGAAGTCATTGGGGGCCAGATCAGGTGAGTAGGGAGAGTGTTCCAATACAGTTATTTGTTTACTGGCTAAAAACTCCCTCCCAGACAGTGCCGTGTGAGCTGGTGCATTGTCATGATGCAAGAGCCATGAATTGTTGGAGAAAAGTTCACGTCGTCTAACTTTTTCACGCATCCTTTTCAGCGCTTCCAAATAGTAAACTTGGTTAACTGTTTGTCCAGTTGGTACAAATTCATAATGAATAATCCCTGTGATATCAGAAAAGTTTAGCAACATCATTGCAACAAGTTTGCATACTTAACTGTCAGACCTCGTATACCTGATTTTAAAAAAAGAAACTTGCATCTGGACTATATAAAGAGCTCTTACAACTCATTAGTAAGACAGACAGCCCAATTTTTTAAATGAGCAACAGATATGAACAGACATTTCACAAAAGAAAATATATGACTGACAAATACGCCCATGAAAAGGTGCTCAACATCTAATGCACCTGCTACACACCCACAAAGAAGGATCAAAATGAGAAAGAACAATATAAAGCATTGACAAGAATGTGCAGCAACTGAAACTCTCAAGCATTGTGATGGGAGTGTAAAATCAGACAATCGTTTTGGAAAACAGTATGGCAGTTTCTTATAAGGTTAAACATATGCTTACTTTCCCAGAGGGCCAGCAATTTCACTCCTTGGTATTTACCCAGAAGAAATGAAAACATGTCCACACAAAGACTTGTATGCAAGTGTTTATAACAGCTTTATTTGTAAGAGCAAAACTGGGGGGACAAACAAATTGTATATCCATTCAATGGAATACTCTGAAACAAGCAGCCAACGATTGATATACACAGCAACACAGACAAATCTCAGGAGGATTATGCTGAATGAAAGAAACCATTCGCAAAAAAGAGTACATAGTGTATGATGCCACTTTTAAAGTGTTTTAGAACCAAGTAAACTTATCAATAGTGATAGAAATCAGATCAGTGGTTGTCTGAGAGGGGGGTAAGAAGAATGGCTGCACAGGTGTACAAGAGACCTTTCTGGAGTGATGGGAAAAAGTTTTTTTGATATCTTGGCTGGAGTGTTGGTTACATGGATATATCCATTTATCAAGACTCACTACACTGTGTACTTAAAATGAGAACATGTTAGTGTTGTAAATTATATTTCAGGAAAGTTAATTTAAAAAAACTATGTAGGGATCTAAACTAGAAATCACTTAGATTTGGTTTTAATTTAAAAATTTTCTCCGTAATCTAATTTATTCTAATATTTAATTTCTTATGTTTAATAGTAATACAAAACTTCATATCAGTTTAGCCTATGTTAAACCATTATAAATTCCAAAATTGAAGAATTAGTTCATTGAAGGTTTCAACTTTCATTATAAAGAATTTCAGAATTTACTTTATCCACATGAATAATTGAGTTTTTTTCTAGGATGTACACCAATTCTTAAACATAAATTAGACTGCATGAAAAATATGCTCACCCATACTTAAATATAAATACATTTGTAGTTTAATGAAGTCAATGCATCTAGCCATGCCAAACATTAGAGGATGATCCAATTCTATGAATTAGTTAATAGCTAAGTGTTCACCTTCTTCCACGTACAAGTAGATAAAAGAATTCATTTTAGTCTGTTACCAGCGACACATGAGAAGACAGACCATGAAAGGCACAATGAAATGAGACAAGAAAATTGCTACAATTTTATCTTTAGGTCCACTTACACCATTGGCTATATGGGATTTTCTTCTTCCTTCTAGCAAGTGACCTGGGTTCAACATTCACAGAGAGTTAGAAGGGTTACGATACTAAAAGCTGCGTCCAAAAGAATTTTAAAATGGAGATAGCCCAAGTAATCTGCTAGTATTTATTATTGCAGAAATAGCTTTAGAGGTAGTTAACAAATGAGGCATTTTTTCAAACCATCCCCCTCATCATATCTATAGTTCAAAAGCATCGTCTTAAAGAGGAAAAGAAAAAATACTTTGTAGAATGTATTTTTAGGATAACATGTTGAAGCGGTTTTCAAAAAGCAGCATTTCCAGTGTTCCTCAGCTTCCTAGTACAGCAGCATTACGTTAGGACAAGGACAGCAGCTCACTTAGACACACGTCAGCATTAATACATGCGTCTCTATGATGACACATTATTGGCATTTGCATGATCACTTGCAAATAAGATGACGAGAGCTACCCTCAGCATTAACGCCAAGGCCTCGCAGTCTGGACTACCCTAAGGATGGGACCAACGCACAGTGTGAATTGTAGGGGATGTGTCAGGTAATATCAAAGACTCACCTGTTTCCCCTTGGAATTATCAATAGTTCTAAAAAAAAAAAAAACATCTCCCACAGGATCAAGCACAACTGTATTTTTCTCCCCATTGGCTCTTCATTATTTTTAGCCTCCAAAAGGCTCATGTAGTGATCCATCCAAACAAGAATTGGCTCTGAACCAAAACCCAAATGAAAGAAAATCCAAAGAGTGTCCTATGGCTCTCTGTGAATATCAGGGTGGGCTTCCACGCGAAAGTTGTCAAACTGTGCGAATTCAAAGGAGTGAGTTCCAATCGCAGCCCAGCCATTCTTCGGGAAATGCACACGGATGTCGGTCCAGAGAGGCTTGCCGTTCAGCCTTCCAGAGGAGTGATCGCCCTGGGGTAGAGAGAAAAGCATCCCTTGGCGACATGTGAAAAGGATTCCCTGAAGTCTGGTTCTTAATAACACATGGCCCACGTGCTTAGTGGAGTAAATATTCTTTTACTTAAGACATACCACAGCAAAACACAATTCCACAGATGGAGCAAAAGTTTGAAATACAGGCAAAAATTTCTCAGAAGAAATTCTTATCTACCTATGTAAATAGTTTCCAAGGTACAAGAAATACCTCAGCATTTCCTTGTACTCCACCAAAATGTTGTAAAACTGACAGAAATGTAAAACTTCTTATAACATTATTATAAAATTTTAGACAAGAGCCCACTAAAGCAAAAAAAAAAATTGTTATTTATAAGTTGTGGCTAATAGCCACCAGCTCTTAAGACATGACTGCTGAGCCAAAACGTCCATTTAATTCCTTTTTGTCCCCGTGTATAGAATATCACTTCAAAGTCATACGAAGAGCCCATCCTTACGTTAGAAAAACAGTAGCCATCAGTGATGACTGGGGAAGGGAGGACTGTAAGAAGGAAAGCATCCACAGAAATGACTCACTGGTCACTGACAGAGAAAGACAAAATAATGTCCTCTTCAGACAGCTGTCATTCCTACCTAGCTAAGTGCTTTGCACACAAGTAAGCAATAAACGCTAGCTTGCTTTTATTATCATGATTATAGCACATCTATGAGCATATATTCACAGCATGCCAATTACAGCTAAACATTTTAAACTAGCTAATTTCAAAGGACAAAGAGCTAAAGATCCAAAGCACCAGGCCAAGACCCCAAATAAAATCTGCGTTGAAGTCATCTACTGCAATGAGCCTTCATTTAGTTCCTGCATTTTACAAATGGAGATACTCAGAATTCAAATTGAAAACCAAGTGACAGATTTACTAGCAGAGCTAGGACTTGAATCCTCGTGGTCCAGCTGCACATGCAGAGCTGCGTACATTCCCATCACTGCACACATCCACAGCTATCTTCAGCTCTAAAGGTGCTTATTGAACATACTTTGCCACTCAGGGACCGGAGATGCTAACACTGAGCCAGGGACTCATACCCAAATCCTATTAAGCACAAACCTGGCCTAACAACATCTCATCTCTGCTCCCCACCCCCGCCCCTTGCTCCCCAGCTGTCAGCCAACTTGGCCTCCTGGCTGTTCCTCACAAAAGGCCAGTTACAGGGGCCCCCTCTGCTCAGGTTGCTCTTCTCATTATTCTGGTCTCCACCCAAACATCACCATCTCTAAGAGGTCTTCCCTGACCTCTAGAGAATCCAGGCAGGGGAGCCACTTTATCTAATTGCCCCATTTTTTCTTCAATTTTTTATGTATTTATGTACAAGTTTACTGTCTTAGAACAGGAGTCAGTCAACTATGGCTCACAGGCCAGCCACCTATTTTTATAAATAGAATTTTATTGGAGCACAGCTGCACCCGTTCGTTTATCTATTGTCTATGGCGCTCTACAAAAGCAGAGCTGAGTAGCTGCCACACAGACCGCGTGGCTCACGGAGTGTAAAACATTTGCTATCTGGCCCTTTACAGAAAAGTCTGCCAACCCCTGTCCTCGAAGAACACAGGCTCTAAGAAACAAGGAACCGTGTGTGTCTCATTTATTGCTATGTCCTTAGCACTTAGAAAAGTGCACACAGTAAACGCTTAATCAAAATGTGCTGAATGAAAGAATAAAAACCACGTAACCCTACAGCCGCCTTACAGAAGTTACCTCCATTTTACAGATAAAAATTAACAGAAGCTCATAAAAGGCGAAATAACTTGCTGGAAGTCTCCGGACGTGGCAGCAAGGAAACAGGAATGCTAGTCTGTCTGGCTCCAAACACACCTACTCCTAAGAACATTATCTTAATTCATTAAATAGAAAAGTAAAAGTACTAGAATGGCAAAGACAATCCTGAAAAAGACATAATGAGGTACAGCATAGGGAATACCGTCAATGACATAATAACTATGTACAGTGCCAGGTGGGTACGGGACTAGCCAGGGGGATCACTCCATAAATTATATACATGTCTGAACACTATGCTGTACACATGAAACAAATATAAAATCATATCAAATGAATTGAAAGAAACATTTTTTTAAAAAAAGAAAGAATGAGGAATTTGCCCACCAGATATCTACACATTCATTCAGCAAGCATTCACTGGGCTTTGGCTGGGACAGCGTGTGTGCCAGGCACCTTCCCAGGTGCGGGAGAGCCCGCAGTGAAGAAAGCAGAAGAGGCCTGTCATTGTGGAGCTATGTTCAAGTGCAGGGAGTAGGACCGACACATAAACGATCAGCAGGGTATGTATGATGTCAGGAGGTAATAAGAGCTTTGGGGAAAATAAAGCAAGGGAAGAGGGTCAGAGAGTGAGACGGGTGCTATTTTATCTGAGGTGGTCAGGAAGGAACTCTGAAGGAAGTACGGAAGTGAGCCGTGTAAGCAAAGATTTTAGAAAGCTAACACGATTTAAAGTTGGATAACGGATAAATAATAGACAAACAACAATATAAAGAACACAGAAATGTTCAGAAACAAGCCTATGCACATGTGATGATTTGTTACGTCAAAAACATGGCCTTCAAATCATAGGCAAAAGGACAGTCTTAATAAATGATGATAGCTATCCATTTGTTTTAGAAAAATTACATCAGGCTCTTCCCTTTACCATTCACAAATAAATTCCAGATGGATGAAAGACTTAAAACATAAAAAATTTTTTAAAAATCCTAAACTTTGTTTAGTTTGGAGGAAAAAATGCTCCTAACCTAAAGAAAGGAGAAGGCCTTCTTAAACCAAAATAAAACATAAAAGCAATGGAAAAAAAAACTTGAACTATTTGACAATACCAAAATTTAAAATTTCTATGCATGAAACATACCATCAGCAAAATTAAAGTACACATCATGAGAGAACAGAAGAAAATATTTGTGACACATATGACAGACAATGGGTTACTACCCAGAATATGTAATAAATCCATACAGATCCACCAGAAAAAGGCAATGCAATAGGAAAATGAGGAAAGAAAGGCAATGGGTAGCTTCAGAGAAGAGAAAATACAAACAGCCAATAAATATGAGGTGTGCAACTCTCTAATTATCAAGGAAATACAAATCATGTCTATTAATTTGAAAACAAAAATCTCTAAAACTTGATAATATCAAATACAGTAATACCTTCATTTGCGAGCATAATTCGTTCCAGAAGCAAACTACTCATATTGCAAGACATCGCTCGTTTACCAAGTTAAAATGTATTAGAAATGTTTGCTCGTCTTGCAGAACACTCGCAAACCAAGTTACTCGCTATCCAAGGTTTTACTATATTATTATAACTGCTGTAAAAATTGAGTTTGGCTAGCAAAATTTAAAATGCAATTGCAATTGTTAACAGCTATATATGATATCAGAGGGGCAGTAGATTGGGGGCGGGGGGGTCATCACTTTTTGAGGGTATAAATGTCTAACTAGTACATGGTTTTGTACACCTGAAACTAATACAAATAAATACATACATACATACATACATACATACATAAATAAAATAAAAAATAAAATGCAATTGCACTTGTCAATGTCTGCCTAAACAAATAACAGGATATGTGCACCCCAAGAGGCACATTCCTCCCCTCCATCTACACATAAAGGCAGCCCTTACTGTCTCAGTTCATTGTAAAACGGAGAAACTGGGAACAAAATTATGCCCATCAAGCGTAACATAGTGAAATAAGCTATGCTACATCCAAACCAGATAGTCAATACATATTGATACTGCCTGAAAAATTAATGTTGTCACTTTTGTTGGTTGGGTAAGAGAACAAGTTCAAAAAGTTATTTAAATTCCCTTTTTAATCCCTATTATAACCTGAACAAAATTATGACAGGACTATCTCGGTAGAGAGCAGTGCATTATACAGAAGAATTTCTACACATAGCATCCCTTGGAAGCATGCCAATCAATAGCTCATGATCAAACAGTGATTCTGACAAATATTTTTAGGTGCCCATGGTGCTAAAATTAATCTGGCATCTCCTCTGACAAACATATTCATGCAAACCAACTTCTAAAATGTGCTGACAGTCGAAAACCAAATTATTTTCAACCATCAAAAATCAATGGATGTGACTTTGCTTGTACCTATAAGCTCCAATTATAATCTTGGTTCAAGCAAACTTGAAAATAGTTCAATTATTGACTTTATCTACCAATTACTCCTGAATTTAAAAAACAAAAACAAAACTTTAAAAAAATACTGGGGTGATAAAGTCACCTGTGGTTCTCCTGTGGGTTTACCATGACACATACTATCATCTTAGGGAGTGATGGTTCGCTGGTATCATGGCAGATTCTCTGCCTATTTCCATTATTTTATCACAGTTTCCCCCCTCTCATTTAATAACAGAAAATGCTATACAGGCACAAGAGAAGAACATTTTACCTGCAGACGTTCTGAGCAGCAATACTTACGCTAATAGTTAAAGCGAGTGTATACCATTTTTGTGCTGTAACTTCAGCTTTTCCTAAAGCATATATGAACCATCCAGCTGTAACACAAAAAGATTATCTTAATTGATATATCTTTAAAATCAAAATCACAGAATCCCATAAGTCAGTGGGGGTTCCCAGGTGGCATTTGCATGTAGTGAAATCAGCCTTAATAAAGATCTACATTTCCAGATCTCCACCTGGTTTAAAACAAAACATCCTTCAATTAGGCACACATTCGACAAGCATGTATTGAGATCCTACCTCTGAGCTCACAAGAGAACCAGGAACATAAACTCACAAAACCAACTACAGTATAATGCATTAGCACCTATGGTTCCAGGATATACTTATTATACCTGATTGGACTTAATATAGAGGATAAGAAGTATCAAAGACTCCCATAAGATTTCTAGCCAGTGTCACTTGTTACATGGTAATAGCATTCACTGAGAATCAGAGAGAGAAGATAATGAGTTAATTTTTGGATGTATTATACTTGAGTGCCTGAGAAAAACCCAAAGAGGTCGAGGGGGCAGTTTAAAACACAGAGCAGTGGGGGCTGAAGACACAGATTTAAATTCCTAGTTCCAGTTCTGCCACTAACTCATTTTGAGACCTTGGGCAAATCAATGAACCTCTCTGGCGCTCTGTTCTGGATTGGAAAGAATGAGGTACCTTCTAGATCAATCGCACCATGATGATGTCATTTCTACTCTGGTGTAATTACTACCCATTCCCTTTGACTTTTATTTTATGTATGGGACCCTTTTCACCTTAGAAAGAGGCAATGAGGAGCAAACTATAAGAGAGAGGATTTTTTTTTTTAATTAATGCAAGAGGAAAGTCAAGAGCCTGAGAATCAAGAAGAGGTCTCGTTTCAACAGGGCAGTGTGCTTATCAACACCAAAGGGAAGTGGATAGAATTCAACTTCAACATGGTCTAAACGCCTATTCTGGATTACATATTATTCTACATGAGACAAGGGCTGTTAAGATGAATGAGAAAAGTCAAGCTGTTTTCAAATTATTAACTACATTAGGGAACAGGATTACGCCACTTAAAGCAAATCAATCCCTCTTCTATTTCCAGAAGCACCGAGAGACAACATTCTTCTTGTCTTGCTTGTATTTACAGTGTTTCCGGAGCACTCTCTCCCTGCTCCCACCACCTCGCCCCAGTCTATGCCGACCCCACCCTGCCAGCCCAGCTCCACTCTACAATCCCCGAGGAAGCTCTGCCCCATTGTCTCCTTTACTGAGTTGCCTCTCTCTGCACTAATTAGTTAACTTCTAATTTTGAATTGTTCAGTATTTGCTTACGTGTGTTGAATCTTTTCCCAATTAGATGTTCAAGCACCTCTCGTTACTCCCATAGGTAACAAGCAGATGTGCACAGCGACCTAGTAAGTCAGGTGCCACAGAAGAAGTCACTTACCTAGATCACCTGTAACTCGGTAGGTGCCATTTGCAAAAATCCAGAAGAAAATGCCTGCAGCGCCTCTAATCCATATACCACCTTTATTTACTCTTCCGGCAATGAACACACCTCCCTTCTTAGGGGTCTCTATGTAAACGTCACACTCAATCCTCATATTGGACCTGCAGAGTGAAACTGCTGGTTAGAGCCTTTAATTATGCCATTCGAGTGCAGCACAACTGTGTCATCATCTCACAGTCACATGGTTCCAAACTTCTAATTGAGGTAAGGATGTGATTTGCTGCGTCTGTGCTTGCAGCAGAAATGGCTTCCAAGAGTCTCCACTGATGATGGTTTTAAGTTTTACAGGACTAAAGTCAAGTCATTTCATTGCCTCTTTTAATGAGTTACTGGCAAATAATATTTACTGTTTCTAAATTTCTAAAATAAGAATACATTTCTTGTCTCTCTAAGATAAAACTACTTCTCGTCCTATGTATATATAATATTAAAAGACGCCATTTTTTTCTAGGAACACAGAAAAGGTTAAGTGTTAACATAATTCTGAATAAAAAGGTTTATTATATTTCCATCAGCACCAAGAAGCAGTAAAGGCAAAGTTAGGAACTCTGGGAGAATAGAAAGGACTTCGGGGTTCATTTTACATTTAAGCCTAATAAGACTTAAAAACTCCAGGAGAAAGGCCTAAAATTATTTGTCTGCAAAGACAGAGTCAACTCGATCTTCGCTCTACAGCAGGGCTTTCAAACTTGAGCAGCACTGAAATCCCCTAGAGGGCTTGTTAAACTCAGTGTGCTGGCCCCACCCCACAGGGTCTGATTCAGTGGGTCTAGGGAGAGCGCCTCGAATCTGCTGTCTAACAGACACCCAGGTAATGCTAAGGCCTCTGGCCTGGACTCCAACATTGAAGACCATTTTCCCCTACAGAGCATCTCTGTCTACGCAGAGCAGCAAAACCCTGATTCTGGGAGCACTGATTGACAGCAGTATATCAAAGGCGGGGAAAGACTCAGCCACCCAGGAGCTACCAGGGCTCTAACAGTGAGCTCTCCTGCAGGCTTCCTCTTATAAATGCTACTGAAGACCTTCTGCCTGAAACAACCACCATAAACCAACATGATCCCTGAAAATAACTCACCTCCTACTCAAAAGCTAACTGCAAATGAGAAAGAAAGCCTGAACACAGCCAAGTAATAAAGCAAGCAATTGATCTAAAACAGAACGAAGAACACCAAGAAATGTACTGGGCATGGGTGTGGGGAAGAAATGGAATGGGTCTAGGATTATGTGGTTTTACATTTCTCAAGAGTTTCTTCTTATCAGTGAATTGTGCTCAGTGGAATTTTACTATGTAAATGAAAATATAAAAAAGAGGCATCTGCAACAGGTACACGACAATAAGGGAAATCCACATTTAATCTTCTAATCAGAGCCAGGCTGCTTTACAGGAAAATCAAACGCTAAGTGACGAAAGCCCGGCCCCTCTTGTATGTCTTCCCACCATAGAGACAGCGTTTCTTTCTGTAGATTCCCACCCACGTGAAACCACTAATGATCAACGTTGTTCCTCACACCCCTGACTCTTTTCTGGTTCATCGCAAGTTTGAAAGTGCTACACATGCTACCAGCACCCCAAAATTATTCTGTGTAGAGTTAACATGAGAGAAGATCAAACTTCTTCCTTTTCTTTTTACAGCACATTCCAGAATAAGTGAACCCGGCATCAAACTTGCAGGCAATTTTACAGATAATGAATGAAATAGAATATAAATGGGGTTTAGTCTTCCATAGCCATAATCGCTCAGTAGTGCTGAGAGAACAAAAACCAGCCAACATATTAAGCAAATCTGATCAAAGAGATGCGAAGTTCATAAGAGTGCAGCGAAAGGTAATTCTGTGATTGTTTCAGATCCCAGCTGAAGCTTATTAGCAAGATGGGCCGTCTGAAGAAGCTTTGCTCAAGGCTGCTTACAGCACTGTGCTGGTCCTTAGCTACATCTGAGTATGACAGAGGAAGCTCTACCCCAAACACAATCCGAACAAGTGATGGCACTGTGCACACATTTAGAGCTGATCCACTGAAACAGCACTATCCAGGAAGCACACTAATTTTCCCTTTCCTGCTCTTAGGAAGAAAGACAGTGATTCAAATGAGGCTCTGAAGTGTGGTCCAAAGAGCGGGGGACTCTCACCCGGGTTTCGGAACTTACAAGCGTGGGACTGTGGGCAAAGCTTACCCCGGAGCCTCAGATTCCCAGTCTATACGGCGGGAAGCTCAGACCAATGTTTAGTATTACCTAGTTTTCATTCCCTCCTTTGGCCACAATAAGTGGGCATCGCAGCCAGAGAATAGGAATGAACAGGGGAGGTGTGTGGAGCTCTGAACAGATCTGGCTTCCTCAAATACCAGATGAGATGCTGGGAAATAACACAGTAAATAGGATGAGACCAAATTTTAAAGGGCCTTGGAAGTCAGGCATACAAGGAGAGACCTGATCTGGCAGAGGGGAGGGTCCCTGCATGTTCCTGAGTGGTGGAATAACACAACGAAAGGAGCGCTTGAGAAAGGTGAGAACAGTCCTTTCTTGACATGCGTAATTGCTGTTTCCTGGCTCTTTTTCTTTCAGGATACGTTGCTCTTCCCCTCTGCCCCCTGGGCCCCCATTCCCTCATCCTTACCCACCACAATAGCAAAGATGGAGTGCTGCTATTCAGATACTGTGAAGTCTTCCAAGTTATTACTATATAACTAAAGAGTCTCTCGATTTTTCTAGAGTCCCAGCCAGAAATAAAGAGAGTTTGGTTTCAGAGAGAGCCCTCTATAGTATTCATGGGTGTGGAGAATAAGAAATGTCACAGAAAGTTAAAGGTTTTATGTGGTGACTGGCTTCCAAACTGGTAATCAAAATAATGGAACCCATGGCTTAGACACTTAGACCCAGCCACCAGTCTTACAGTAAGACCGTTAGTAACAAATGAGGAACTCACAAACCCCATGGACACGACCAGAAAATCCAAGTAAAGTGTACCTACAGAGATGATGGGATACATGGCGTTTCTGTTGTTTAAAAAGACAAGCCACCAAAGTTATCATAAATTAGGCAAGGGTTCTCCACGCTACCCCAATAACTCTCCATGGTGCTGTAAGGCTTCCAGAAACTCTGGAGAGCTGAAAGTTTATATCAGAGCTTGGGACTAGAATTGGGATTTATAAAGGAAGTAAGGCAATATGCAAGGGATAAAGACTTTCTGCAGCATCCCACAGATAAGCAGTTCAAGGTTCCTTTCAGAATTATCTTCCCTTCCCTGCCCAATTTCCAAGGTACAGATATGGCTGTTTGATTGTTTGGCATGAATAGTTACATCACTAAACCTGAGATGCCTGTGTTTTCTGTTTCACAGTGGAATTATGCTAGCTAAAAGAAAAGGTAGAAAAGAAAAACGGATATAATAAGCCAGTACATTGGAATTCCATAAGTGATTTAAAGGGGAAGGTGAAGTTTTGGTTCGGTCATTGTATTTTAAGTGAAGAATAAATACAATTTGTATCTTTACCAGATGCCTACAGCAAAGAGTGAAATTCACTAGCGAACTAAAAGCTGCTTTGTTTTTTACTGTTTCCATCTACTGTCGCCAGGTAAATACATTTACAAAGGCTAAAACACTGTAATTCCAGTGTGGATCCAGCAGGTGGCAACACAAGATCAACAAATCAACACTCCAGCAAAACAAAATCAAAAACAACAGGCAAATCACGAAGTCTGTTTATAAATAAATAATTATTATTGGGTCCAAAAGCACTCAGTTTTTATATTAAAATCAATCTGGTCCTGCAATAATCACTATTAACCTGGGAAAATCTGAGGACAAGAAACTGAAGCAGCAAAACAGTTCGCTAATTTGTGGCCACCATGATACTCAACGATTGTCATACACTTCCTAGGTTCTTGGACAAGGAGGGCTATGGCACAGCCTTCGCTTCAAAATGTACCTGACAACATTACAAGGTTATTTCAGTCAGATCTACATTAAGAACATCAATTTTACATACCAGTTGTAATCTCCTATGAAACTGATCGTGTTGGACGCGTCAGCAGCCCAGGTAATGGGTCGTTGATTGAGAACTTGGCGTAGTGTGAAGCGATGCTCTCCAGGGTCTTCGATATTCATAAAGTACTCAAATACGCCAGTCTGATCAGCAAAATTAGGAGCTTCACTAAAAAATGGGTAATCTGTTCAGAACATAATAAATTCTCTGTTTAATATTAAATTCCCACAGAATCTTTCCTCTCGGACGTTTTACGGTACATTCTGAAACACTTGAAAAAGTTTTAAATGTTCACCACCCAGAGTCAATTCTCCTTCCATCACCATGTGATGATATATAGAGGATGTATTACAGAATTGTACACCTGAAACCTGTGTAACTTTGCTAATAATTGTCACCCCAATAAACTTTAATTAAAAAAAAAAGTTTTAAATGAGTAAATGATACTTATCACCAGTCTAAGTTTAGGGTTTAGGTTAATAAAGAGATACTGATTTTTATATAATTATTATTAAATTATCTGTATGATCAGTTTGACATACAGACTTTACTAATTTAATCCATGTAACTGCTTAAGAGGAAAGATCATGAATTCTGAAGGGAGGCAGAACTGGGTTCAAATTCTAGCTCAGTCTGTCCCCCTGGGCAAGTTGCTTAAATGCTCTGTTTCTCAAGTTTCCCCATTTCTAAGTGGGGTAGAGGACAAGAGAAATAAATGAATGTACATAAATGTGTATATAAGCCAGCACCCAGCAAAGGTTCAATAAGAGATAGTTTTGTTATTTCTAATATCTGTCAAACAAGGTTCTAAATCACTGGTCACGGTCATCAGCTGAGAAAACATTAGAAAAGGCTTACTATGCCAAACACAGAATTTAGGAATTACAAATTTTCTTCTATTTCTAAAATGGAATAAAAATCAGTGTTGAACCTAAGCTATCAATCTCTTCTTAGTTTTATTAAATTATAGTCTCACAATGATGAAGGCTATAGAAGAGCAATTTTATGCACAATATCTTATAGCTATTTTGCACTTCATGATTTTCCAAGGGTTTTCACATTCATCACATCGTTTAAGATATTAAGAACCCTATAAAGTAGTTCTAAAGCCCGGCTTATAGTTTTCAACTTTAGTTTTTAGTGTATTGTGTAGCCAATAATGCATTACATTTTAGATGTGAAGACTTAAAAATGCCTTTCAGTCTTCAGGTCACAGAATACATAGTTTTAAGATTGAAGCTCTTCAATCTCATGACCTACTGAAGGCAGGAGGAGTTACCTTTACCAACAGAGAAATGAGCAACTGATTGCTAGGACACTCTCGTGGTTCACAAAATTAATGGGTTCACCTAAGAAGTCATTTCAGAGAGCTGAAAGAAAACAAAGCACCAAGCTCCCCTGAGGGTCACTGCTGTCTGTGTTACCCAAAGAATTGAGAGGATTCCAGTCCAAAGGGCCTTATATTCCACTCAACCAGAACTTTATTTCCCGGGAAGGGGAGCTAAGACCCCGTGGCAGTGACCACCAGGAGGGGGTGGTAGGAGTCTCCACCGGCAGTAAGAACGAGCAGCCCTGAGGCAAAGGGCAGTTCAAGTATCTCTAGCAATGCCAGTCTCCCCCTTTACTTCTCTCCTACAGCTCTAGGTCCTAGGAGCAGAGGAAAGGGCCACCTGCCCCCGTCTGTGAGATCCGTAATGCTATATAACACTTACAAGTCACCGAGTTTTGTCGCTTGCTAAGTGAGCTAGGAAAATAACCACAATGCCCATGCCTTCTAACTCTTGAAACAGTTTTCCTAAATTGCCTGTAATCAAAAGCTTTTTCTAACAGCTTTAGGGCAGATCTTCCCAGGAAACCAGGAGAGAGCAAATCTAAAACTCCCAGGCACAGATAGACAATGAGTTGGATGACCCAAGGATAGCATAACTGCCCATCAGCTCTCAGTCTGCCAGCACTGTGGGAAGACAGGAACACTTTACCTCCCTCCACACAAAAGGGCAGTGCCAATAATGGCGTTCATGGGACATGGACAGTAGGGCTTAGCAGTGTGTTACAAATCCTAAGTTCCACCCCAAAACAAGTTAGAATGGTAACTTTTATTCTGACAATGTCCTCTATGTTTTTTCAGGCACTGAAAAATACAGAGTCCTCAAGTTGAGAATCACCTTGAAATAACACAAGAGCTATGTCTCATTCACCACATAGAGATTTAGAGCTAAATGAATGTACTTTTCACAGCCACTCCGTCATGCACTGGCTTGTCAGGCACAAATTTTCCCACTACTGCTAAAAATGAAAACCAAGGTAAGTTTTAGTGGGCGGTGAAAAACAACAACAACAACTTACCGACATTGAAATCATCCTTATAGATACTTGGGAAGGGCTGGGACTTGGGGGGCAGGGGGTAGCTGCCTTTGCTGCCACTGGTGAGTGTCGTGAGTGTGAACAGCTCGTCCTCCTGTAGTTCAAGTGTGAAACTGCCATTGCTGTCCAGGAGCTGAAAGAAAAAACGTCATGTTCAAGGACAGGCGCTTCGGCGCATCTCATTTGGGCAACACGGCTTTTTGAAAAATAAGCTTAAAGATAAGCCAAACTCATTTTGGTTTGAACTTCCTAACCACTTGTAAAGAGTCCACCCAATATCAAGGCCCTCAGAATATTTTTAAAGTTATTTTGAAGACTTTATAAAATTATACTTTATGAAAGGATTTTAAAAGAATTTCACTACATGGAGGGAAGGAATACTAGATGAACCCCAAGTCTATTTCTATTGGCCTATTCTTTTCCATTAGACTGTAAACTTCTTAAAGCTTATATATATATATATTACATACATATAACTAAGAGATCTGCTTATTTTTTTAGGACTTTACTAATTTTTTTTATTAAGGTACAAAAATCCATAAAATTTCACTGTTGACTCAGGTGTTACAGAAAACCTTTCACTATTAAGAAAAAAATGTCCAACTTATTATATGTTCAATACGTATTTCCATTATCAAGTTAGTTTTATATGACATTTATGATCTTAGTAACTTAATCTCTTCAAGGCACAATTTCCTCATCTACAAAAAGAGGAAAAACATACATACTTCATATGGCGGTTGTGAGGATAAAATGAGATCATGTATATAAAGTGTTCTAAGCTCAGTGTGTGACCTACAAGAAACACTCCCTTTCTCACACCTGTTCTAAGCCCAATGTAGACCTCTGAAGATGCTGGAATTTACATTAGATGTATGACCATTTTGTGAAATTTGAGCAGCTTTTATTTTTTACTTTGAACTAAAGGAGTTCATACCATATCTTTGCTTTAATAATATATATTCGTCAGAACTATGAAATATCTAACACCATATTCTGGCTCAGAAATAACCCCACATTATATTATTTTTCCCATGAGGAAAATCAATTTTATTGGGTCGTCGAAAAAGTCATGACGCATTTTTGGAACGAAAAACATAGAAAAATACGTCATGACTTTTCCGACGACCCAATATTATGCTATTTCTAGCAACTGGTTGTATAAAAAGTACAGACCATTCCTTTTTTTCAGGAATTTAATATAAAATGGGTGTTCAATCATTGATAGTGGTTACTGGATTCATAGAATATTAATAATTACCAGGAAAAGCAGCAGATCTGTGTCACTAGGTGAAGAAATGTGCTTGATTAGGCCAATTCATTCTGTGAAACATTTCCTGAGAAACCATCATGTACTAAGCATTAGAGTAGGCACCTGGGATAAAAAGCTAAATAAGGCTGGGCAAGTCCTCAAGGAAAAGTGTAGTGGGACAGCGTTTAGGTAAGCACGGATTCCCAGGTGGCTGTGAGCTAAGACTGGTGGAAAAAGCCCCAGAGGAAGTGACACCTGAGCTGAGTCTTGAAGAAGAAGGTCAAAGACATGTGGAGAAGGCATTCTAAGAGGAAGAAAGAGCATGTGCAAAGTCACAGAAGTAATTAAATTGGCATGCCATGCTCTGAAAAACACAAGAAGTGTACTGTGTGAGGAGAGGCCAGTTTAGTAGGACACGTGACTAGAAACGAAAGCAGTTGTTTGCCTCATGAGGGGATGACAAGGGTCACGGGCTACCCTGAGGGATGTGAACTTATAGGAAAAATCCCTGAGGCATTTTGAGCAAGAGATTGATAAAAATCAGATCTGCATTTAGACACATTGCTTTGGTGGCAGCGTGATGGATGGACGGATGGCCTGGAGAGAGTCAGATGGGAGGCTAGAAAAACAGGAGGTTGTTTCCAAAATTCAGGGAAGAGATAATGTGGGACTGAAGCAAGCCGTAGCAGTGGAAATGGAAACTAAAGAATGGGTAAGAGAAATGCATGGATGATAGAATTGACTACACCTGATCAGTGGCAGTATCTATGGGTGAGTGGGAAAGACAGAGTTTAAATGAGACTCAACTTTCTGACTTGGGCAGCCAAGTGATGGCGGTAGCATTCACCAAGACAAACTAAATACCTAAAAAAACAAGTACACCTATAAAACACAAACTTCGATACTGCCTTGAAGAGGGTTTCTATTTAAAAAAAAAAAAATGTTGGGGACAATTTTATTTCTATTATGCTTCAGCCATGAAATCAAGTATAAAATTAAAAATTCTTAATTCATTAATCAAATTTCTGTTCCCTTTTACTGTTGTAATGCTCAAAATATAGGAATGTATTTTAAAGCTACCCATAGAGAATCCAGTTGTTTAAAAAGAAATCTCTCAGATGATTTTCCAAGTTTGGTAGACCACACCTGTAGCTCTGGTATTTTACTCTGAGGAGAAAACACAAAAAAATATAAGAGTCAAGTGGTTTATCACACCCTCTTTGAGAATTTCCAAAATCAGTACCAGCAAGAATGAACCATGACAGTATGCACTCTATTTCTACTTACCAAAAGACCCACCTCAAATTTTTTAGTAACATTTTAAAAGTAGAAAGGCATTATTCAAGCAAATATTTTATTTTCTGTAATAAATCTACAGACTTTTGGCAAATGTTTAAAAATATTTTAGTGAGCAACTTGTCTGTTCCCCTTCCCAGATTCCCCAACGCTCTTCCCTCCCCCAATACTCCAATAAAATCTTTAAAAAAAAAAGATTTTAGTGCCTTTACTTCAAAGACACTCATTATTATACCTGTGTAAAAAGCTTTCTAAGAATGTTCTGGTATTAAAAATAAATTCTCATGTAATCAGTAGTCTGGAAATGTACTGTATTTTCTGTATTTAAATCTAACAGTAGGTAGAAATAGCTAAAATCAGGTGTCTATTTTTTTTTTTGTACAGAGAACTGTAAAGATATATGTTTGAAAGTTCCCTAGATAACATAATTGATGCTTCTACCAATAAGAACGACTTTCTTGCAAGTGACTTCGGTTAAGTGTTCTTCAAAGCCACAGAGTTTTACCTCCTAGTAGCTTCTGTAGTGCTTGACTAAAACCAATCATTGGATAGAAGACACCAGGCATTTATCCATTCATATGCAAACTCTTAAGAACTGCTAGCCTGTGATAAAATATATAAATTCTCAAAAGCAAAACCAGAATAAAATCCCACGTATTTACTTACAAAAGAACCCTTAAGAACGAAGGTGGCAAATTGGTGTGACACATTGAAATAAGGAAGAATTGGCCGTATACACATAGAATGTCTATGGCTCTGAGGAGAAAAAAAAAAAATCATGTAAGTTATCCAAATGATGTACAAAGCATCTTATGGGGAAAAAAATTAAACATTTAGTGCCCTCAGATTAACAGAAATGGCACACATTAAGTGACAAATATAAGTTTATTTCTAATTTTTAAAGACGTTTTTCTAATATAACCTTTATTCAATGTCTATTGTGTATGCCTAGTCAAAGTCAAGCTCATTGGCATTTTGACTGAGTCAAACTTTTAATTCATAGCTAAATACCTATCATCCCACAGCACACACAGATTAATTTTTATGTTATAACTATTTTCCAAGTAAAATACATCAAATGAAAAGCAAATGGCTTGGGATGCTTTTATTGAAAAAGGCATCTCATCTAAATACAACCTTCAAATACACAACTAAAGTCAGCTAAATACATATAACAAATAGTTCTCACATTTCCAACATCATTTTTTACTAAATAGTCATTACTATGGGCTTGAATCAAAAGACACAGGCACCATAATCCCTACTCAAGGGGACTCAACAATCACAGAGCACTAGCAGTATAAGGCTTTTAGACAATAAAAACAATTACAATTATTATTAGAGATTTTTAATACCCTCTCCTTAGCAAGTGATATATAGCTAGATAGAAAATCAACAAGAATATAGGTGATTTCGACAACACTACCAAGTAGCTTGCCTGGGTGGACATCTATAGATTACTCATCCAACAAGAGCAGAATGCACATTCTTTTCAAGTGCACAAGGAACAGTTATGAAGGTATACTATATTCTTACCCATAAAAGAAGTCTCAATAAATTCAGAAAGATTCAAGTCACACAAAGCACCGTAATAGAATTAAATTACAAATGAGTAACAGAAAAACCTCTGACAAAATTCCAAAATATTTTAAAACTAACGAACTTCTAAATAACCATGGCTTAAAGAAAAAATGAAAAGGGAAATTAGAAAGAATTTTGAGCTGTATGAAAAGAAAAACAATGTATCAAGGTTTGTGGGATGCCACTAAAGCAGAATTTAAGAGAAAATGTATAGCACTAAATGCCTAGATTAGAAAAGAAGAAAGGATTTAAGATCTCAGCTTCCACCTTAAGGTACTAGGAAAAAAGAAATTAAAACCAAAGTGAGCAGAGGAAAGAAAATAATAAAAATCAAAGGACAAATCAATTAAATAAAACCCAGAAAAACAAGCAAGAATAATAAAGAAACAAAAAACTGATTCTTTGAGGAAAAATTAATAAAATGGATAAACTTCAAAATGTTAACTATAGAGTTACCAACTGACTCAGTAATTCCACTTCTCGATATTTATTTACTCAACAGAAATGAAAACACATGTCCACAGAAAAACGTATACACAAATGTTAATCTCAGCATTATTCATAACACCCACAAACTGAAAACAACCCAGGCATACATCAACTGATAAATGCATAAACAAAATGTCATATATCCATACAATGAAATATGCAGGCATAAAAATAATGAAGTACTGATATAGAACTATGAAAACATTAAGTGAAGGAAGCCAGACACAAAAAGCCACAGATTACATGATTCGATTTATATGAAATGTCAAGAACAGGCAAATCCACAGAGATAAAAAGTAGACTAGTGGTTGCCAGGGGATGAGAAAAAAAGAAATGGGAAGTGATTGCTAATGAGTATGGGTTTCCCTTTTGGGGTGATAGAAGTGTTCTGGAATTACATAGTTGCACAACTCTGTGAATATACTAAAAACCACTGAACTGGACACTTCAAAGGGTGAATTTTATAGTATGTGTATTAAATTTTAACTTAAAACTCTATTACTGTAATTCATTATTTTAGTAAACAAACAAATAAACCATAGTATGCTTCCAATAAATACAAAAAAACATGTGACAAAATCCAACATCCATTCATGATTTTTAAAAAAAGAAAGAAATAGTGTAGAACTTCATTCCAATAAAGGATATGTATGGAAAACATCATAATTAATGGTAAAAGACTCAATGCTTTTCTCCTAAGATCAGACAAGACAGGGATATCTGTTCTCACTACTGCCATTCAACATTGTATTAGAGATTCTAGCCAGTCCAATCAAGCAAGAAAAAGAAATAAAAGACATTCATATTGGAAAGGGAGATGTAAAATTACTTTTATTCACAGATCATCGACAGAGAAAATCCAAAATAATTTACAAAAAAGCTACTAGAATTATACATAAGCTTAGCAAATTGGCAGAAAACAAGATCATTATACAAAAACCTATATTACTATATATTTGCCACTAATAGAATTATAGTTTTTAAAAATATTATTTACATTAGAATTGAAAATTTAAAATAGCTAAAATTTTGACAAAAGATGTGAAAGAGCTGTACACTGAAAAGTACAAAATACTGTTGAGAAATTAAAGAAAACTGAAATAAGTCTGAGGAGATGCCTAGTTAGTTAATGGGTTGGAAGACTTGATGTTCTTCAGACATCAGATTGTCCCCAAATTGATCTATAGATTCTAGGCAATCTCAATCAAACTCTGAGCAGGCTATCTTTTTTTTTTTTTGGTAGAAACTGGCAAGCTGATTCTAAAACGCATTTGGAAATGCAAATGAGCTAGCACTGCGAAAACAACTTTGAAAAAGAACAAAGTGAGACAGGGTTAATGGTACCTGTTTCTAAGAATCATTATATGTATAGGCTGAACACAGGCACAAAAAAGTCCTCTATGAGCTTCCCTTATCTGACTAAAAGCAGCAACTCCTAGGAAATAAGGCTGCCATGAATTCCTCCTCAGGATGGATCTACTCCCAGAAAGCAGGAATGGGAATAAACCCTACAGCAAGTCTTCAGTTTTATGGCCCTGAAGGAGACGGTACAAACACTATCGGACTTTTTTTGTCTCCAGTTTGTTCTCCTGAAAACCCATTATTCTTTCCAAAGTCATTGATTTTTCCTAAGGGCTCCTTTTCTCCTTCCTCATTATCTATTAAACTAGGTACATAAACCCCAATTCTAACCACCCCTGTGAGTTACTCATCACTGGGTTTCTCCCAATGTCTGTGCCTTGCATGCACAAATAAATTCTGTTTTGTTCTCTCCTGTTACTCTTTTATCATTTAATTTGTGGGGTTCCAGCTACTGAACCTGAGAGGGTACAGGAAAAAGTTTCTTCCTCCCCTATATAATGTTTATTGTATGCTAATTATACTTTATTAGCTGATTAAAAAAAAAAGGTGTTCAACATGTCTTATGCTGTTTTTACAATATTAACAAAGTCAGTTAATGCAAAACAAAAAACCAAGAATTACCATTGTTTCAATGATGATGGTAAGGTTACCGAAGCCGTCAGTCAGAGCTACGTAGCTTCCTCCTTTCTCTAAATGGCCCACTGTCTTCAGGTAATACCAACCTGGCTGAGTGAACTGAGTGGTGTGAGCTACAGAAAAGCAGAGAAAAACTCGAATCAGATAAAAAATGGTGGTAACAGGGTTTCTTTTACACACAAAAAAAGCTGTCTACTGATTTGAGTCCAATTAAGTCTAAAAGCTGTTTCTTTTGGAAGAAAATACTTGCCAACCCCATGTTCCAGCTTTGGACTAATTAGTCCAGTTAAATGGTACAATTGTGGGAAGCTTCTTAGAATGACTGGTAAAAAAATAAATGAACCGTACTCTGTCAGTTCAAGAATATTGATTGTCTTTTTTTCCAAGAATAAAATGAAGTTATCCCCTCTCAACTTTTCTTCATCTCTATTTAACCTATCCTAATATAACTACAAAAAAAAAACAAAGTTAAAAGAGTTAATAATACATTTCAAAAACTAAGCTTTATGGTTTCAAATGAGCTTATTTCTGTAACAAATATTCATTGGGCACCTCCAAAGCTGCCCTGAAAAATGTACTAAGCAATATTCCATGTCCCAACCCCACCCCCCAAAAAAACCAATTTTAACATTTAAGGACTTAACCAGGAAATATGCACGTTGATTATTTTTAATTAGTTACTTGAGAAACAGCCAACACAAGGACCATCTGACCTTCCTCTGTGTCCCCTGAAACTAGGAAGTAAATCTTCCCCGTAAAAGGTAGAGACATCCTTATCACCAGAAACTGGAAACTCAGAGCCGAGAAAGCTGTGTTGGTGAACTGCTTAGTTTCTCCACTAACTAGTGAAGGACTATTTTGTGGCCTCGCAAGTTCTTCACAGATTCATTGTTTCTTTGTCTAAGACATATATCAACAGCTTGCTTTGGTCACTTCTTAGGCTCCATGTCTGTGAGACCTCCATATGTAAGAAGTTAAATGTGTTCTTTTTTTCCCCTCCTGCTAATCTGTCTTGTATCTATTTAATTATTAGACAGCCAAAAGAACCAAGAGGGTTAGGGGCAAATGCCCCCCCGGACAATCTCCTCTCAGTGTTTTCTGCTTTGTCTGTGAGAAAGGAATTTCGGGGGTGAGAGACAGCATCCAAACCACACCTGATATCCAGATAGGCGCCTCCACGACGTAATGGCCACTCCACGGCTCCTGAGCCGTCATCAGGCCACAGCGCCCATATGGCAGCTGCTCGTAGTAGCTGGCCACCAAATTCCAAGCAATTGTTCTGGAAGATTTGTTTGATAAAAAGAGCAACAACAAAACAGCTTGTGATCAAAATGTAAATGTCTAGAAGCCTACACAGTAAAAAGACCTTAACACAGTTTATAGAAATACTATATGTAAATAACCAAAAAATGACCACCCAAAACAAGAAAATAAAAGCTGCCTACGTTCATTCAAGTTTTGAAAAATCCAGGGCTGGATGCATCTAAATCTTTTAACGGTGAATCACTTAATGAAACTATAAACAATGGTGTAACCAGAAAATGAATCGGGCCCTACCAGCACCAGACAGGTCCAAAGGCTTTATCCATACCTGCTTTTCTTTTGACAGTCAGCCTTCTTAATGTCCCAGTTTCATGACATAATTTTATGAGTTCGACTCTGAGCTGTTGCAAAGTTTTACAAATGAGAACTTTTAGAGTCTGCCTGGGTTCAAATCATGGTTCCACCACTCAACCTCTCTGGACCTCAGTTTCCTCATCTGTAAAATGAGCGTAATAATTGTACCTAGCTCGTGGGGTGCTGTGAGGATTCAATACCCTAATGCAATATGAAGAGGATAGAAAAAGGTGTGGGCTGCAGCACCGCTATGATTCTGCTTCATCTAAACGTACTAATCGGGTCAACTTGCTGGTCTGTATTTTGGCTCCTTCTTTCAGATGTCCACAGCTGGTGCTAAATCCTACGATTGTGACTATGGTTCTCAGGAAAATCCAAGGGCAAAAGGGAAGGTCTGGACTCTGGTGCTGCTGGGTTCCTCACAAAAAAAAAAAAAAGAGCTTACCCACAGAATTTTATTTTTCTTACCAATCCTCATCCACAATAAAATGACAAACTGACATACTTCCAAAATCAAAGCCTTCTAATTCCATCAATACAAACTAGAAATAATTTCCAATTTTCAAAAATCCTTACTACCAGTGAAAATTTTAAGAGTGTTCATGATTTTACCCATGATCATGGTGTCTGCTCTGGCTCGTGCTAGAAATATAAGTTGAAACAAACTATCTGGAGAGCACATTGTAATTTATACAAAAGCTTTGAAAAATCTATATACCTCTGACCCAGGTATTGATTCCATTTCTAAGAATACACCCTCAAGAAATAATCATAGATGTCTATAAAGATGCCTGTACACAATTGATCATTTCAGTATGTACAAAGCTGTTAAGTAAAATAGAAAAAAACTTCCACTTCTAAGGAGAGGAGACTAATCAGTGAGGTATAATATATTTTCTGCATCAGCGTTTCGCAAACTTGCATGACCTCAGAATCACCTGGGGCACCGACTAGACCAACAGAGTCCCAGGAGCCTTCCCTGGAGATTTGGACTCAGCAGGTTCAGGGAGCTACCAAGGATTCAGTATAAACAAGTGACTCAATTACCACTTGAGACAAGGCAAATTTGGGAAATTCTACTGTATGGAACAGAACATATATAAACATTAAAAATGAAGGCATATAAGTACACTTAAATATGATAAGTTCATAATACCTTGTTAAGAGAAAAGCAGCTTATTTACTAAACATTATATAGCATGGTCTCAATTTTATATTAAAAACATATATAATTAATACATATATATTAAAATGCACACACACACATACACCGGGGGTGCCAAAAAATCTATACAAGTGGACACTTTGGTCAACGTTGCTCAAACAGTAGTTCGCCGTAATCAGAAGTGTCTGGATGCTGATGGTAACCACTTTGAGCACCTCTTGTAATTGCAGAAGTCACACGTGATTTGTATTCATCTTTTGTTATCAGTATATATTGAGTATTACAATTTTAATAGTTTTTTCCTTTCTTAAAATGTGTATACGTTTTTTTGGCACCCTCTGTGTGTGTGTGTGTGTGTGTGTGTGTGTGTGACATAAATGGGTGGATATACACAAAAATTTTTAAGAACAGTTACTTCTGGATGGCAAAAATATGGGGGATTTTGTTTTCTTCTTTGTACTTATATGCAGTTACTAAATTCTCTGCCATAAGTATGTATTACTCTTACTATCAAATTAATTAAGTTATTAGCACCAAACTCTCCATGATAGGCATCTTCTCTTTCAAAAAAAGAAAAGGAACAACTGGTGTCAGAATAATTTATCAGCCCACATTAACATCACAAAAGAATGAACTAGCTTGCTTTTGTCATATTTATCACTGTTTCAGGAAGCTAATTTGAATCTAATTACAATTAAAGCGTCTCAAAGCATTTAAGAAATGCTTCCCTGGAAATTAAAATTATAAAAAAAAAATGTGGTCTCTCTTAAGAACCTGTTTTGGAAAGTTACACAAATTATGTGATGTTCTGAGAAATCAAACAGGCAGATTGGGAAGTGGATAATTCACAAGACAACTCGCCTGGTTTTTTTCAAAAGGTCACTGTCACAAAAAATGGGGAAGGAAGGAAACTATTCTAGATTAAAAGATTTTAGGGGCATCATGTCTAAATGCAATGCATGGTGCTTAATTGGCTCTTAGCTTTAAAAAAAGCTATAAATGATGTTTTGGAAGACAATTAGGAAAATTTGAATATAGAATGGGTATTAGAAATATTTCTTAAAATGCTCTTATCTTTTTATGTATCAAAGTGATATTGTGATCATGTAGGAGAATATTCTTAATTTTGGAGCCACATGCTAAAATAGTTAGGGGTAAGATGTCATGACATCTGTAATTTACTTTATAACTGTTCATTTTAAATGTATATATACACACACACATATATATATACACTTTATTCAATACAGACTATATTCAAATATAGGAAAATAGCTATGTAGCTTAGGTATAAATATAAGTATAGATGAAGCAAATAAGGTAAAATGTTTACAATCATTGAATCTAGGTTGTGAGAATATGAAAGTCCATTGTACTTTATTCTACTTCTTGTGTTTCTGAAATTTTTCAAAATAAAAATCTTTAAAAGGTTTTCAATCACTTACGAAGTCATATGGCCATTGATATAATTCTGATTCAATATGCGAGCCCAGCAGCCTGCACCCACGTCATTATTCAAAGTGCTATAATCTTCAGACGACCAAAGCTTCTTCTCGGTCAGCCTTGCATCCTTTACTGTGTAGGTCCCAGGATAATGAGCTCTAGAAAAGAATGGATGGGAGAAAACAGGAAAAGGGCAAAATGTGGCACTTATAGCTATTCGTTGTGTGACTAAAAATACATGTCTTCTCCAACATTTTATATTTTAGAACAACGGACAACTTCCAAGTAGGTGTCAGACCGATTGTAAGCATCTGCTTCCCATCCTTGTGTCTCAGGATGCCCTTAAAATGAGATAAACCTCTAACAATATACATAATGGGAAGGAAGATCACTGATGGATGAGACATTTCTGTTTCTGGAAACCATGAAATGTACAGAAGCACGTTGATAGAGGTAGCAGAGAAGGCCACAGCCTAGCACACTCCATGAGACGAATGAAGTGGGGCCAGGATTCAGACTTCCCAGGGGAAGCCCAGCGCTTGGGGCGTGAGGCAGGGAAGGGCAAGAAGGAAGTCAACAATAACACAATGAGTCTATTATGCAAAATAGCAGCTCCTCCCTTGTCCCAGCCCTAGTAGACAGGGAGAAAGACAGCTTGGCATTTACTCCCAGACAAAAACAAAAGAATAAAAACCCACACAGAGTTTTCTCTTCAATAAAAACAATAAACTACCTTCAGAAAACTTCAAGTTGTTATCCCTTAACCCAGTCAAACTGACACACAAAATGAACCATCACACTGGGTAAAGGGCACAAGAGATACTTCCAACTACACACGAATTTACAATTATCTAAAAATAAAAAGTTTAATACAAACATTTCTCTCAAAAAATATATATTTTTCCATAAAATATTTTTTATATAATAATTTATTTATTTTTTTGCTGGAGCCCAGTGAAGCCAAGGTGCAGAGGGCCGAAAGGCAGAATTGGACTAAGCAGCAAGGTCAAAGCCACACTGCTAAGGAGACATGACAAAAGTCATAGTCAGTACACCACACGAGGTACGAGGTACGTGTTCGTGAGAGAACTCCCAACCACAGGAAGTCTGAGAATTAGGAACTAATTTCACAACATTGCTTTTCGTAATTTCTAAAATTTAAATACTACTCTGCCCTTTAATGATAACAAAGCCATGGTGTTATTACTGCAAACATTAACACAATTTTTTAAAAGTTACCAACACATTTCATTGTCACATACATTTCAAAGAAAAACGGATGAAATAATCAGCTGCACAGCCTTTAAGATAAGCAAATACAAGAACACCGCTTTCTGAAAATGTTATCAGATGGGAGGAAAGGGCAACAACAACGTCAATATCCAGCGCAAGCAGCCAGAAACTTCATTCTCAAGGTAAAACCCTCCTTACCCTATAACATCAATCGCCTTCAAGAGCTCAGAGTCAAGCAGCATAGAAGTAGAAATGGGCTCCCAGAGATTATCACTCGCTATGATTTTCACGTGCTGGAGACCTTGATAGTTCAGCATTCTTCGTAAAACCTTTCAGAGAGATAAACAGAACATAGGAAAGGTTACAGATGCGTTTTCACCTGTTGAATTACAACCAAGAGAACTAAAGTATCTTCAAAAATCAGCACCCTGGATGATGGTGCCAATATTATTTCTCAGGAGAAATGTGCCTCTTGTGTACGTAAAATAGAACAAAATCATTATTATTAAGGTAACTTACTTCATAAGAATGTAAAAATAAAATAAACAAACTCAAGAGGTAAAAATGTTTTAGAAGGATTTTCCCTCTGACCTCAAAATGTTTAACCAGAGAAAATTAAGATGAGCGGGTAGAAACTAAACTAAAAAAAAAAAAACAAAACAAAAAGGATCATAATAGTACTACCCAGAAATAACCACTATGATTTTGGTATGCATTCTTTTAGGAATTACCTTACGTAGGCACAATAATAAAATTGGGACCATACTAAATATATCATTTGGTAAAATGCTTTAATCTATAATTTTATTTTGATTATTTTACAATGTCTTCAAGTATTCTGCCATTACTGAAAATATTACAGTTCTTAATATTTTGTACCATACTAGAAATAGAAATAAGAAATATCCCATTGTTACCCTCAAGTCTTTCACAGGTATAGACAGGACAGGCAATAAAACCTACCTGTAGGACTATCCACCCAGGAAAATTAAAAGCAACAAGCTAAATTCTAACAGGAAATAAATCAACACAGCCCAGAGTGCCTACTCTGGCATTTAGTACATACTTGGGCACCAGGAGTCCCCAAAAGAAACACAAGATGGGGTACTCATCCTTAGGCAATAAACATCCTCACCAAGACACAAAAACTAACAGAGTGTACTAGAAAATCAGAGAACAAGTACATGACAAAAGTATGGATTGCCCATATGTAAAACAAGAGCAGAGAAGAGATGTCATTTAACCAGGGAGCAGGGGGACCAGATTTCAAACAGAAGTAGTTCTCGGTGAATGGGTACGAATAAGCCCACTGCTGTGCCACTTGGAACAGTCCAGGCTCAATAAATATTGGTTGAGTTAATTTAAGATAAGAAAAAAACAAAGAATTTCACAACCTCTCATTTCACATTCTAACTTTTCTGAACTAGGGAATTTTTCAATCAATGAATGTGCTCTTTTAGGAGGCGAATAATGAAAGCTCTAGCAATTCCATGTTGTACTTTAAATGGATGATTTCTTAGAACTAATAAATTATATAGTATTTTAAAAAAACAAGGTGAGAATTAGAATAGCAATCCAAGTTCATCTTTCAAACAAGGTTCCTAGGTACCCTGGAAGCTGTCTGAACAGATCCTTATAGTAAATAGACCCACACTCAAAATTCAGTAGGATTGAGAATCCCTATCCTCTATTAGGAGACCTTGAGCCTTGTCACTCTGAAATTCCTTCTTATTCTTACAGAGCGGAGGGAGAGCAACTTAGTCAAGTTTGCATTTATCATTATGGATATATCTAGTTTTTCTGACCATTACCTCTAAAATTGCTCACATGTTTATACAGTATATACAAATAACACTCCAAAATATACAAGTCTATATAAACTATATTTTTAAATAAGTTTCCATCGCAAAGTCAATAAATAGACAGCATGTTTTTGAGCAAAGTTTTATCTAATACATTTCCAATGTTTTTTTATTGTGGAACCCATCCTTTCCCCCTAAAAAAAGAAGTTTCGATGGAAACTCTGTAAGATGAAGGAAAGGGAGCGCTCCTGCTTGAACCCAGTGAGGGTCCAGAGATTCACATATCCAGCTCCATTGCCACCCTCAGATCCTAGATGGGATTTCCCAGACACAATTAGAAACCTCATCACTGAAAACCAGAGTAAATCATAAATACAATGTAAATAACAAAAATAAAAGAAACCATAGCCCTGCCTTCTTTATATAAATCGCTGCTGTATTATATTAATTTCTACTCTTAAAACAAAATCCTTCTTATTTCCAGGGGCCATCTTACTACACTATATGGAATACACATTCATTAAGCTTATAGAACCCGAACACCTACATTCATCTGCCATTACTGAACTCTTTAAATAGACATGTTAACACACAGGACACAGATTCCAATAAAATCTTGCTACAAAATGGCAATCACAAACTTTTTATGAAGTTTTTATATCCTGAGATGTTTTACTGCAAAGTAAACTAAGTAAAGGTTGAGAGAAAAGGAAATTAAATCTGAAATGCTTAAAATAGCAATTAGTCTTTCAAACCAGGTAAATTGAAATAGAACACAGTGGAATCAGAACAGACTATTAATAGCTTAAAAAATAAATCAAACAAAACCTCCTTAGTTGCAGATCATTTGTTTTTTTGGAAAAAAAAAAAAAAAGCAAAGCAGATTCTAATGCTTCCTTCAAATGACATGAACACTACTAGAGTGACACATGTATAATCACAAAAAGGAAAAATTGGCTCTGAAATGTCAAATTTGGGTAAATAAAAAGCTCATCACGGCCCTGCCGTGACACTGTCCACCTGGCTATAGGGTTATACAGTCACATGCACAGGTTGGCTTCTGCTCTGTGCTCCTGCTGCTCTCACCAGACCTGTGCTCACAGCAGACACGACATTCCACCAACGACCTTGTGCTTCAGTCCTGCACTGGCTCCACTGCCCACCTCCCACAAGCACCCCACCCCCACACCACCACACACCACCACAGTCCCTGCAGCCTGGAGGTGACCTGGAGTTACCCGGCTCTGGCTGTAATCCAGCCTATCAATCCCACAACCAAGGATTAGTTCACAGGGGCCATTACTCCAGCGAACACGGTGGCCTACTAAGCGCTCGGGGCCCCACGATTTCCCCCTTGTCTAATCCATCCTTCACCACTTGCCCTTCCCCCAAATCCCTTCACCTCTCAGTCTTCACTTATTTGCAGTGTCATGCTCCTGCCTTAGCAACTTGGGGAGCTCCTTGAAGATTCCAAGTACATGTCACCCCCTATAATAGACTTCCCTAGCCCAGCCAGGCAGAAATCTCACCTCCTCTCTGTTACCTCCTGACAACCCTTTACATGCATTATTCTGCTAGAGGAATTATAACTGATCTTTTATCTGCCCGTATGGGACTCAATAGCACCCAAATGTGAACTCCTTTGGGGCAGAAGCAGTATTTCGTATCCTGTATTCCAAGCATGTGTACAATGCCTGACCAATTAGGTGTTGAGTAAATACTTGCTGATCAACTAAATGAGTAAATAAAAGAAATTTAGTGCTTAAAACAGAAGACACTCAATTTTAAGAAAATGTTTTAAAAACGGAAACAAAATATAACCACAAAATCATATTTCTTAGAGGAAAGGCATATAAAACAAGACAAATGGAACTGAAAACTAAACTACAGTCTATTTCCACCTGAAAGTTAAAATACCCTTGTTTTCCAGTGACAGTGGGGTTATCACTCTTGGTTTTCCCTTTCCTGAAAAATAGCACTAATAGCATTGTAGTTACCTCATAGGGGAGGTAGTAAGAGTTAAATGGAGATAAACATTTAGGAAAATGGCTCAAAAATCTCATGCTTTGCAAATGTTAGTTGTCACCTATTTGCTAATTACAAACAGAAAAATATAATTCTCAAAAAAAAAAAAGAAAGAAAGAAAAATATAACTCCAATAGAACAGGCATTCCAAAGAAAACAAGAATGAGGCAATGTGCTAGAAATTTTGATGTAAGATAATGGAAAAAAAACTACATTTCTTTAAGGCCTAAAAGTCTAAGATGATACAACTGTTTTTATAATGATTATTATAATTCCACAAATAATGAATTCTAAAATAGGAAAATTCAACACAATTCTTCGGACAAAGGCATTTCAGGGCTTACATATGATTTAATCGGGAATATAAATATTATGATTTTACTTGAATTTTGTGTCACAACTAGCAAAACAAATAACTGCTGTAACTTAAAAATAAAGAGATTTTAAAATTGTACAGACCTTGATATAATTGATGTTAAATGACCTCTCATTCCAAATCTGCAAAACAAAAAGTAAAAAAGTCTGAGTTAAAAGTTGTAATAATTCAGGCACCCCTGAAACCAGCTGTTCATGTGTAAAAGTCACCACTCAGGAGTGACTTTTTAGCACACACAGATAATCACAAAGACGTGCTACAGCACAAAAGCAAAACCTTAATGAGGATAAAAGGAACATACACACATCTCTCAGGTTTAGAATCATCAAGCGTGGGGATTTAGAGTTGAAAGGGAATTTGCATGATTTTCATTTTGCGGGTGGGAAAACCATTAAAGATGGGAATTGGCCTGGATTCCATGCCCTGGAACTCTTTTTACTCCAGTGATACAGGAAAGAGTTTCTTGTTAAAGAAGCTCCTCACCTTAGCGTGTGATTATCGAGAGTCTAAAAGAGATATGAATTGGCCATTATTTACCAGCAACAGCTTCTAAGTGTGACTTTACCATAATAGAATGTTATTCAACCCAAACCTACAGTGAGTCTCACTCTGGGTTAAAAATACCTTAACATGTAAGAAATTTCTCAAATACAAGCTAATTTTCAGTTATAATTTGGAGAAGGATAGAAACAACAGGAGTGCGCCTGCTTCTGGCTTACAGCCCTTGGCTCATCCTCCCATCCTATGTCATCCCATGACACTGCAGTTTATTTGTTCCAGCGTCTGCTTCTCTCACTGCACTCCTCAAGAGCTTATTAATCCCGGTATCCTTAGAACATAATAGTCATAGTACCTGCAACACAGTAGGAGCTCAATAATTGCTTGCTGACTGCACGAAAACTTCTAAAATCAGTTTTGACTGGTGGCATATTTAATAAACAAAAGTATATGGAGACCCTCTATATGTGTGTGTAAAGCTCTGTAGGGTACAATGTAGTCTGAGGCATGCCTCCACCTGCCAACAGAGCAGTTACCAGCTAGAAGGACAAAAATATCAGGATTTACATTTCTTAAATCATTAAATAACACTTTAGGACAAGGGTACGCAGATTTCGGCCAGCCTGGCAAATTGGGCATACCACTTGTATTTTTACGGCCTGAGAGCTAAAAATGGTTTTTATAGTTTTAAAAGGTTACAGTTTAAATCGTTATATAAGTTTCTCCATAATTTCCTTAATAACACCCCCCAACACCTACAACATTTACTCTCTGATCCTTTAAGGAACAGTCTGCCACCCCTAGTTTAAAATAGAAGACTCACAGAGCAAAATAGGATTAAGCTTTAAACTGTACAGTAAATATAATATTGTAAGAACTAGAAAAATTAGGGGAAGCTTTGAAGAAGGAGAATTTGAGCTAGGGTGGTACCAAAAACAAACATTAAAAAAGTATAGCTCAGAAGTTAACACAATACAGTTTTTCAAAAGTGGGAAGAATGTGAATGGGCAAAGAGGAGGAATAAATGTTACATATAGTTAATGTTATTATCAGACACCAGTAGACAAATTAATATCATGACACAAAATGGTTAGTCAACCAAGTGCCACAGCATCAATTACTTTTAAAAAGTACAAATAAACTTCCCACAGGGAAGCATGCTTTAATTCCATTACTAACCCCAATATAATCAATGTCCAAATCATGATACTGCTTGGCGCCCATAATCCAGGTCACGATGTAGTAGGCCGTCTGCTGAATATTTACATAAGGCCAGTTGAAACCTTTCCCCAGCCATCCAGGGAATGACCATGGCAACCCTGAAGAGAGAATGGAGGAGGCAAAGGTGGAGTGGGGATAACAGTGCTGGCATTATCAGAAAGAAAGCAAATGAAAACAAAAAGAATATAGGCAAAGCAAACAGCCAACACAGATCTAACTAAAGGAAAGATTACATACCATGCACAAATTATCAAAATCCCTTCCAGTCTATGGATATTAGAATTCTTCATTGATCCCTAGAGTTAGAGTCAATAATTCCCAAGAAAAAGAAATAAAAACAAACAACAAAAGCCTCTCTCAAAGATATTTACTTACCAATAGAAAGAAATAACATACAATGTAACTTAACATCCCCATCACCTGCTATAGACGTTCAATATCCAGTTTCTATTTTCTGAAGTCAAATCAAAAAGTTCTGAAAGACTTATGCTTAATTACTCCTATGAGGTAAGTATAAAACAAATTCCTCATTCACCACTAAGGCCACTTAAAATATAAATTAGGTAATCAAATTTAGCAAAACAAGTTTGTCCTTAATAGCAATGTAAATATTAATGACTCTATAGGGAAAGATACATTTGCTTAAGGATACAGATTAAATAATGCACATTCTTCCAATACCCTAATTATTATTTTTAAGTAAAAAAAAAATGCAAAGAGTAGAGAAGCACTCATTACAATTATATATCCTAATTCTGTTACTAATGTATTAAAAATAAGCTCAACAGTCAAATTCTTTAACAGTTTATCTATTATCAGTCTAGTTCACCACTGAAAAAAATCAAAATCAAAATGACACCATACTTACTTTTCTAAAATCAGGAGGAAAGCCTAAATGCATCTACACAAGAAATGTGACATTAAAATAATGGAGCACTTTAAAACAATGAAATGCCAAATACATTCTGAAGGCCCGCCATGTGTAAGTCTTTGTTAGGACACGGTTCAGCACGCCAGATTTTCTACATTTAAATGAGAACTGACCTTGAAAGCAGCCCAACGGGCAAGTGCGAGCTGAAGTCAATGATGCTTTTCACTGCTCAAAACATTTCTGGAATCTCTTCCAAAATGCCATTTACAAAGAACACAATGACTCCTTTTTTTTTCTTTTTTCTTTTTTTTAATTTAGAAAAACTTATGCTTGTCCTCTAATCTGATTGTTGAAAATGATTTTTGAAATCAAGTCTATAAAATAGATCTCATTAATCTCACTGAAATTAATCTGAATGTGCAAACCTGTTTCAAAAAATCAAGTTCATTTCAAACGATGAAATAGGGCACCACTGTGTATGTTTGAAATATTTTACTAGTCTGTGCTTTGTTACAGAAGAACTGAAACGTATACAGTTCCATTTGACAAAGCATCGAATGATCCTGCCACTAGAATCTAAGCTGCACAAGGGCAGTAATCGGGGGTTGGACTGGTCAGTATCTCCAGTGCCTGGAACAAATTCATCACACGGGTGAATTTCAAAACAAACAAACAGAGAACGTTTTGTATGTATCGCTTCTAGGAATGGGGTCTGCTGCTCCATGTAACACACAATTTTGCAAATAGCTGGAATATACGGCTGTATGCAATATATCATTTTATAAACAGCATTGTCCTTTGACAAATTTTAAAGGAAAATTTTGTTGAGGAAAGCAGTTTAGAGGAAAAACAAAACAAACAAACAACAAAAAAAAAAACCCACCAGAACGGAACAGGTTCTAAGTCTGATTTTGCTGTTTACTAATTATCTGACCTTCGGTCAGTGGCATAACCTCTCTGAGCCTCTACTGCTTCTTCTGTAAAATGCGAAGAGTAATAAAGATCAGACATAATATATAAGGGCAAAGAAGGGATCGTGCCTGGCACATGGTTTGCTGCTAGTCGCATACTGATAGTCGTAACAACATTATTAGTACTTCAGCTTTAATAGAGACTCCACATACATGATTCGGAATTTAAAAGTTAAAGGAAAACAGACTGCAAAAGCAGGGCAAACGTCACGTCTTACCAATGAGTGTAATATTAGGGTTCCGCTTCTTAGCTTCCTTCATTAACCACCACTCATACCCTCGGAAATAGTTCTCGTCCAATGCATAGTGCATGTGGGAGGGCTCAGTGCCATCTGAACGTGAGAGAGCGAGAGACAGAGGAAACTACCCATTAACGGGGCTTCGTAGGGCCACTCTGCCTGGCACACATAATGCACATGTCACAAAAGTAGTAGTCCAGTTCCAATCCTGAAGTCAGGCAAATAAGAACAATCTTATATAACTTGAGGATGGATGATCAAAGCGTATCATGTCATCTTTTTTCATTATCCTAAGCATTGTGAACATCTTCAATAATAAAACCACACCTTTCTATTATAAGCAGTGTTAAGAGAAGTGGCATCACCTCATGTAATGGAAGACGCCTAGGACCGCATTGGGCTTTGGGTCTCTCTGGGGTTTTCAAATGTCCATGTCCAACTTTAAGTTCAATTGCCTCAACTTCCAGCTTCTCAGTCCTGGATGTGAACCCCTGGGCGCCTGGGCCCCAATTCTCAGGCTTCATTCCTTAACCTATACTGTGCCTTGATGCCCCAGGACCACAGGGTTTTGAGAAAATAGGAACGACTACACCTCCCCATTATAAGAAAAATTCTCTACTAGCCTCTAGAGCGTGTCAGGGTAGATAACTGGCACCAGCCTTGAGGTGATACCAGCCTCACCAACATCGGCCCTTGATAAGAAGGACCTCACAAGGAGAGGGGCCTTGCCTTGCTCTTAGAGGTAAACATGAGAATTCACAAGAACTACCTGGTCTGTATGTCCCCCTCTCAGTTCGCTTCAGCACGTGAAACTGGCCAGTCATTATCAATTCCGCATGAAAGGATCTGATAATATAACACAGGTCCTCTAACAAGTGGTCTCCTTTTGTTTTAATTTGCATTTTTTTTCAGCATAAATACTAACACCACCCACAGATATATCGGTGTAACAAAAATTACTTTCAAATCACTAACAGGAACAGGAGTGTACAAACAATACTCTAGAGCTCCCTATAATGGAATCTGACCTATAAACAGTAAACTATACATAACCACTGAGAGAATTAAATTCCTTTTCCTTCTTCCTGGAAACCAGAGGCCTAAAAACTTTTAGTTGACTACATGCACTACACAAAGCCAATCAAAATGGTGACAATAAAGATGGAAGATTTAGTGATTAAAAATAATTTTGTTTTTAAAAGAAAAAATAGAGCTAAGTATTTGAAATACTGATTACTTATATTTTTACCACCTATTTTATTTAAAGCTAATAACACCTTACATGTTTTATACAATATTAAAAGCTTTCTTTTTTTTAACTTTTCAATACCATTCCAAACTTTCCCGATGCTCTTGCTGGTGATTATAGTTTCTAGAAAACCTATAGATTTGTTTACTACTGATTATTTCAATTAAATATACACCTGAAGTCCAAATGCTGTTTTTGATGGGGAAATGCATATTTTGATACAATTTTTAAAAAATAATTAGAGTGAAAAAAGGAACAATAAGGAACAATTTACTAAGCAATAATCAATATCAAAAATGTTGGTATCATTTATATTCTAGAATCACAGTCCATAAGTTGAGGCATAGATTCATTCAAATGTTGGGGGTAAAAATTCCATTTCCCAAGTACTCCTACCTGTTGTCTGCCCATCACCACCTATTTCGACTTTTAGAATATGCAAAGAGGCACCGAAGTTTGGCTGGAGAAAGAAGTAACAGTATTAACACTGTGATTTATTGTACAAAAGACAAAACACTTCAAGACAATTACTAATTGCTGCCTTTGATTTTACAGATGAGAAAACCAAAGCAAAACTTCAGATAAATAGCAATTTATCCCAACAGTAAATTGCCATTAAAAAAGAAAAAACCTAGAATTTTGAAGGTTATAAATTCTATGGGTGATAGTCACCATACTAAAATATCATAGATACCATTAAACAATTATTTTTCCATTACCTTAAAGAGATAATCCAATATTTGAGAACGATAGGGTTCTGGATAATTTACTAGAAGTCGGGAGGTTGCCTAAAAAAAAAAAAAAAAGTTTTCAGAAGTATGAATAAAACAAATCCAATCATGAATACTTTTTCTTGGTGCTTTATGCACTCCACCTAGCACGCCCATATTTAGCCAGCTCTTAGACAAAGATGAGCTGTGGAAAGTCCCAGGTTATTTGTTTGCCTACATGTGTTTTGCCTACAAACATCATTGGGCAAATAGGTCTATTATTTGTCCAACAGCTAAAACACTGGTCACAAGCAACAAACAAGTTTCTCTTCTACTGAGATGAGGGTTGGCTGGGAGGGAAGCTTGCTAAGTCCCTGATGAGCCTCATGATTACAAATTTATCGTGAAGACCTTGACTCAGAGAGTAGTTATTAGAAGAAATAAAACTAGTTCTCTCTTTTAAGACCATTTGGCAACTACCATATCTGGGGGCCAGGATAGGAAAGATGAATCTCAATTAATTTTCCCCTCAACATCTTGCAGGAAAATATGTATTACAAGCAGCAATGCCAAAAGGAAAAACTCCCTCCTCTTCTTTATTAGAGATTTGTAAGTGCTGTCTGTTACTGTTAAGAATGACCATGCAGTGACCCCCAGGCCAAGCTGTACGAAGGAAACCTCACACCAGCCTGGCATCTGGATGCATGGAAAGGCAGAGGTGGAAGAAACAGGGACGAACTCAATCGCACCTACACCATGGCTGATGGCTACTTGAACAAGGAAATCACAAAACCAGTAACTGAGCAGTAACACATCCTTTGGGAAGCTATATAAACAAGGGGAAGAAAGGAGGTCGGTTTTATCATGAAACACTGGCATCTCACTAGGCTTCGAAGCCAGATAAGCCCTAGGTTCCAAGCCACTGACATCTTGCCAGGTATATGACAAGGACAAGACACTTGACTTCTATGGGTTCAACATTTTGTTTTATATTCTCATATAGGCTGCCTGCGACATTTTGGCCATGCCCATATCTATTTCCCTCACACCCAGGACCTCCCCAGCCTTTGACACTGAGTCACAGACTCACGGAGCTACTCTCCAGCCACCTCAAGCTAAACACGTCCCCAACCAAACACAGCACTTTTTCTTGAATCTGTTCCTTCTCCTGCATTTGCTATCTTAGTAAAGAACAACAATCTGCCTAAACCATAAACTTAGGGTCACCCTTCCCCAACCTTCCTATCCCTCTTCAGTCACCAAGATCTCCTTAACATCTCAAAAGGTCCATCTCCCCCTCTTCAACCCACTGCCTTCATCTAGGTCCTCCTCGATGATTCGCAGAGCCTACATGGCCACCGGCAATCCCGTCTGCCTCCCTGGATTCTGTCCACACCACCTGCCAGGTTAATCTTCCCAAAACACAAATCTAATCATGAAACTACTGTTTAAACCTGCCAGGACCTCCCCTCCCCCAAGAGCTTTCCGGATAATGTTCAAATTGCTCAGTTTTACACCCAAATCCCTTAATTGTTTGGATTCTAATTCTGACACTTTACACCTTGTCACTCTCATACCTTCTATCTAAATATATCACACTTCTATCTAGAGATATCACACTGTTCTTTTTTTCTTCTTTCTGGAATGCATTCCACGTCCTCTTTTGGCCAATTGTAATTCATCCTTCAGCTTTTGGCTCAAACTCCACCTCTTCACAGAAGGACACCTTCAGCTCCTGCTCGCTGCTCTGATGTAGGTACCTCTCCTGTGGACCTGCTGGCACCAGGTTCACATCTCTATCAGGCCTTTTTAGCCCTGCGCGCTACTCGCTGCTTCCTCTTCTGTCTCACTTCTAAGTTCCCTGACAGGATTATGTCTTATTTATGCTCATATCCTCACTTAGCCTCTTATTTGACAAACATTTATGTGATATCTTTTATGTGATCATTTGTTGCACCAGTACAGGCAACATCATATAGGAAGCTTTGAGTCAGATGGAGCTTGCATCCTGATTCCATCATTTACAAGCTATGTGACTCAGGGCAAACTATTGTAAAGCGGGTTACCTTACTCATTCAGCTGCTCTAAAACTAAAATGTTGGTAAGATGCATGCAAAGGACTTGACACAGCTGCTGGCACATAGTAGGCCCTCAATAAATGACAGACATTGTACACACAAAATTGTTTTCAATAATACAGTCACTGTTTTCAAAGAGCTTACAGACTAGTGGATGCTCAAATATTAAAGTAGCCCATTTTCTCGGCTCATTGCAATTTCACTGTGGTATTTTATAGAAGCTATTACAACTGAGAGGCTAGCTTCATGGTATTGATGATACATGGCTTAATGATAGTAAAGCTGCCTTTCCTCTCTAAATTATAAAAAAATGATTAAGTTTCACTTGATGGAGATATACTCTATCTATGTGTCATTCATGGAACTAGTGCGTTAGGCCATAAACTGCTTTCCTGGCCTATGTTTTTTGTATTTGACATTTTAATGAAGACAGTGGGCTTTTTCAGGTTTTCTGACTTTCAACTCTGAATTGTCCTTTTTTGGATTTTTAAGTACTGTTACTTTTTAAAGTAATCTTCAAGTAAATGAATACTGTATATGTATACTAATCTAGCCTCGACCCAATAAGCAATGCTTCCTGCCCTGCGTTATGCCGTTAGAACGGTGTATTTTGCTCTTTGGGAGGGTCATTTTGCCCTCTCTGTACTCCTATCCTTAACACCAAAAGTGCCAGCTCTAAACAAGCACACCACATCATTACGCTATTGCAAGCCTAAGGTCACACCCGGTGCAAAAGGATTAGTCCATGGCAATGGTCAATTAGGAGTAGTGTAGCCACATGTTGAAACGCACCATCAAGCAATAGCAAATTACTAAGTTACTAATCACACTCCATGAATAAGGCCTAGAACTATCTACAACCAGCGCAGGAAAAAGTCTTAGCACCGTAGCTGGTACACAGTAAGCTCTCGATAAATGGCAGGCATTATAACCCAAATTGGAACAAGTTTTTCATTTAAAGTCCCTGGGATAACTTCCTCCTTCCTAATCTATGAAATAGGATGATAGTAACCAAAATTAGTCATGTACCAGATGCCATTCTAAGTCCTTTACATCTATCCTCACAATGCTCCTACCAGGCATCACTGTGTCCCCATAAAAGGAACAGACACAGAGAGGTTAACCTTCCCCAGGCTGTACAGCAAGTAGCAGGGTTCAGAACAGACCCCAGGCAATCTGCTCTTAAATCCACATTCTTAATAACGACTGCACCATTATGACTTCCTTTTTGGATATGAAGATTAAATGAGAACATTTCAAACACCGCCACCAACTGTGCTAGGTACCAGAGGCTCCACAAAGAAGTTTAAAGTGGGGTGCAAATATAGTGTTGCAACCATTTTCATTTAATCAGTTTTTGAGATTCTAAGATCAGTAAGGCACTGTGCGCAGAACAGATAAGATCCACCTACTCTGAGTTATGAAACAATTCTTCTCATTTTAATAATTTTAAACTGAATTTATAAACAGAACCAAAGTCTTCCATTTTTCAGCACGTTTAAACACAAGTTCATTATCACAAGTAAAGACATTAGGACAGAGGGGGTCCGCATTTTATGAACTACTAGCTCTTCCAGATTTAAACCACAAAAATAATAAAAAGGAGAATGATATTAAAAAGCAAATATATTAGACCAATTAGTCCACAAGTTACCTTGAAATGTGTGACAGTACCTATGAGCAAGTGAGGTTGCCACATCAGGAAATAAAAGTGTAAAAAATTTAAGAAGAATCAGTTAGGCTAAGGTAAGAAACAATTTTTTCCACAGCAAAAGTTCAGATCTGTGATCCGGCTACTGACCAAGTTATCCACTGTGGTGGAGTCCGACAACTGGCTTTTTCTTTTTGCAATGCATGTGCCTGGCTTAGGCTCTGTTGTCAAGGCATCACTTTTTTCAACAATAATTATGTTTTATGGCAGGTCTACTTAAAAATGGCTACCCAAAAGTTTTTGGTAACTTGAAACCTTAAAGTTTTGCTAAGTTCAAGTTAAAGAATAGAAATTCATTGAATATATAGACCACTGTCAAATAATACAAAATACTAAAATATTAATTAATGAACATAGGTTTATCTACATTTGGTTTCTTATTACAGAGAAACTAAAGATATTTGAATCTGTTAGTAAACATAACCTGTGCTACAATGAAAAACTGTACTATAAAAGAAGAGGCATATGCTTCTAGAATAGAAATTATGAAATGTATTCATAAATTTGACAATTTACAGAAAGCTGGTATAACAGACAGTTTACAATTGCTTACTTCCTAGTTTTCACTAGAAATTAAGGTTTCTAAGTTAAAAATTCTAATTAATAAGTGTAATTAAATCTAATAGAAATAATAAGGAAAACATCTCTATGTAAGGAAAGTATGACGTATTTTAGATAAGAAAAACTAGGAGGTATGGAGATGTATTTTTGTTAAGGGAAGTACAAGTAACTTTGTCCTAAAGTAGACAAACTAAATGGATGTAGAAAGTTGGGAAAAGGGAAATAGAGAAGAGAATTTTACCTTGTGTAGTCAAGCTGGCTAAATAAATTAAATAAGTTTATTACAAGGATTTTTAAAAAAAAGTTTTAATAAACAGTGTAGTTCCATAAAACTAAAACTTAATTTTCTTCCATATGCTAAAAGGACAAAGTTTTCTTGGACTATTGGTCTACTCTTGATAAGATTGTGAAAGATTTTTCTTTACCTTTTAAGTAATCTACATAGGAAACAAAGTGTCTCTGTTTTATCAAAATAATTTCCTATGCTTCAGGTTATCTTTACCAAGTCTTTATTAATTAAAAAAAATGAGTCTTCTCTATAAGAAGAGCTAGGTGTTTGTTTGTTTGTTTGTTTGTTTGTTTTACAATTGTAACTTTCGCAAAGTCTTTGTCATTTTTGTGAAATGAATAAGTATTACTTCACAGTGATGTATGATCCTGTTTAATCAAGTATTTTAAAACCTTTTGATATTTTTGACAAACTTTCCCAAATCGAATTCTAAATGAAG